TGTGTGTGTGTGTGTGTGTGTGTGTGTGTGTGTGTGTGTGTGCGCGCGCGGAAAGAGAGTGCATTTTGTCATCCACTTTCATCTCAGCAACCAGGAAAGCTGGGAGACTGAAACTTTGGACATATGTTCCTACCCCGTGTGTCATTCTCCCGTTTTAAGATCTTTTCGCATACGCGCCTAAACCCCGCGTATGGGACCACCAAAGAAATTTGTTGGCGGGAAATGATTTCGCGAACCAGGCAACGTAGAGAGCTGAAACTCTGTAGGGATATTCTCTATGCACGTGCGAGATACAATTCTTAAACTCAGCTCTCTAGCTTCCCAAACACTGCCTCAAGCAGCTCCCGAATCCAGAAATCGTTAACAACTTGGACTTGAACCGCGGTTGTATGCGCAAATGAAGGTGCATTTTTAGCAACTGGGACCTGAACCGTAATTGTATATGCGAATGAACATGGATTTTTTTGAAAAAAAGACCATTCGAGCAATACTTCCAATTTTTCAATGAACGGAAAATTTACATATTTTCAAAAATTCGTTCGCAGCTCGGGCCTTAGCCGCAATCGTATATATAAATGAACGTGCATTTTTTGACAAACGACCGCTCGAGTAATACTTCGATTTTTTAGTGAACTGGGAATTTGCATTTTTCCAAAAAATTTACATTTGTCATTTTTTCACAAAGCGAGCATTTACCGACAAAACGACCGGACTTCATGCAAAAAACCGGTAGTCATGTACCTGGATGTCCGTGCTGCTCTGTAATGCACCGCCTTCATCTCAACTGATGCCCTTTCTCCTGCATGCCAAAAAGGATCAAAGCACGGCCAATATTAGCCCAAGTGTTGGGCTACAGCGTAGGGATCATTCCCGCTAACAGCGATCTGTGAGTTTAGTGCAAAAACGCATGATCGCACCGGGGAGTCTGGTGCGTTCCAGCCTGGGTTTATGTAATGGATTAGCGGACAACTCAGAGTACAGTGGTAAAATAGATACGTTATGGGGTAATATGTTAAAATAGATATGTTATGGATAAGTTATGGCAATATGCAGGTAATGAGGATAAACAACGAGAAATACGTGTATTTTCAATTTTGTGTGATTAATACTGTTATGCTCATGATCATGTACAGTGCAGCCGAGTTCGTTTAAGTAGCACTTTAGATTCGCACATTCCTCCTTTCACAGGCTCATTATTGCTAGAGCCGACATTGTTGCTTTCAAGGGAGCACAGTGAGGGGCAACTGACACAGAAGGCCGAATTTCTTTTTAAAAATACTTAAATACTATCGCAATGAGCCTACGTTTGCTGTTGCTAGTGATAAACAGTAGACTGCCATTATCAGCATTGTGACCACACCTTCCATGGCGAGAAAATGCATCTGCAACAATGTGATGCATAAAGCTTTTGCTAAAACTCAGGACAATGATAAATGGAAATGAGGAAATTGAAAAATGAAGTTGGGAATGAGAAAGAGAAATGAGAGGAGATGTTGGAGAAAAAAGCAAGAGGGAGAGGTTTTCATGACAATTTGCTCAAGTTGGTCTGTGAACGATTTTCAAAGTAGCTAAAAGGACGCCATTATCCAAGCTGCAAACTGTTCCCACTCTTGAATCGCAAATCATGCATCTTTGTCGAAAGATAAAATTTAAATGGTGACATCGTAAGTGACGACTCAACTATTCTGTTCGTCTGCATGTGTGGTTTTCTGTCCACTGTACAAAGCGAAATACCACGGTAAAGAGGATTTGTATAATTTTTCTGAATTATATAACACCTACGAGCAGAAATGGTAGGATTCTGAATTAATCACAGGCAAAAGCATGTCTGTATGCGTATGTAGTGAAACTTTCGATAAACGCAAAAGCTTACCTAGAACAAATATGACGTCGTTGGAAAAGTCGTCGTGAATGTAGAGGCTATACAAATCCAATGCGCTGATACGCTGCTTATACGCAGCATCAATATGTTTGATAAAGGAGTGACGCAGTTAATGCTGTTGTTAACGTTTTTGGCCGATGGTGCTAACAGAAATCGTGGTCGCCGAATAATGAGCGGGGCCAAAATTTGCTGCCCAGAAAACACAGCTTTACAAGAGTGGGGCTGAGTCTACTACCATCCTCAGACGATTCTTTTTCTCAAAGTGGCCAAGATGTCCTAATAGTCGCACGCAAAGGGATTACTAATTCTAAAACGAAATTTTTAGAAAATAAACTCATTACTGTACCAAGAATATCAAGACCGAATGCTTTTGATAGTGCATAAGGCCACAAAACTAAATTCAGGGTATTATCTTCACCGTTGACTCGTGTCCAAAATCAAATTTTGTAATTTCAGATTAGCCTCTCAAACTTATTATTTTTTGCTCTGTGAAAGTATCCCCAAAGAAAAAAAAATCCCAGATTTTAGCAGCTGCATGCTCTTGAACATACAAAAGATCCTTACAATACACAGTATTTTCGCAATTAAACTGCACTATAGATGAACGGAAAACTCGAGTGCTGCGCACATATAAGCAAGGTGCGTAAAAAACTGTTTGCTAAAATCCAAAATCGTCCGGACAATCGCTGTGATATCATACGTTAGTTTGTTATTGGGATGTTTCTACACGCCAAGCGCAGCTGACTTTCCTAGGCAAAAAAATCACTATGTCAAGGCAAAACCACTGCTTAATGTGCTTGTGCTTTAGCCGCCATTTTTCCAGGACAGCTCAATGCAAAACACGCCAGCTCACTGATATGAACTGTGCTCTGTTAGCAGTTGTGTAGGACGAGGAATGTGGTGGTGCCAAATTTTTTGGTTGAGAAAACCATTTAAGAGCTTGTTTGATGTTCTGCTTATTTAGCAGCTTTACGTTAGATACAGTTTTTTTTAATTTTCCTTTTTGAACTGCACCCACAGTAACTTAGCCAGCGTAAGGGGATGTTCGTCTTTCTCACTGGTTTCATGTTTTTTTTTTGTGGTCCTATTTGAGGCTGATTACTGAGGCACGCTAGACTGCCTTAGTTGCTTTATCAGCAGCTCTACTTCTCTTGGCGCTAGCGTATGACTGTTGGTGCTTTATTATATTGAAACAGTCTTTATCACTGACTTGTATGCGTGTAATATTTAAAATAACCGCATTTACAGCCTGTCCTCTTGAAATCTTTGTCCAAGAGCGCGATGTGACAAAAAATATTGAAAAAGCTGCTATTGTGATGACGAAATTCACTTTTACGCCGACTTGGAGTTATGCGGATCCTGTATGTGTAGGAAATAGGAAGATGAACACCACTTATCCGTATCTGATCCAACTTTTTTTCTGATCTATCTTTAAACTGCCGTAGACCTGTCTTTGCCTTATCCTTGATCTTTGATCTATCCCTGGTCTACCTAATTTCGAATATAAAAATTAGTACGACCAAATTTTGAAAGGTAATTTGTCTGCGCAAGCGCTGTCGATGAGAACAGTATATGTAGATAAGGGTTAACCAGATTTTAGGTTTTTGGTCTCGACATGTTCTTGAAAATCACTTGCTTTTTTCACTATAACACCTCACAATCGTAAGATTTACTAACTATTACGATAAAATCACGTAGAATGAATATGGAACCACAGCCAGCCACGATCCGCGCTGTCAGTTTTCAGTGACACCACGTCGCTGGCGATCGTCAATTTCGTGAAAATAGTCTCAGAGCCGATCGAATTTTTGCGATAACACCGCGTGCCGTCGTTGCCTCTATCACTGCGCCCATATAAGTTTTATGCAAGTTGCAAAAAGCGTCCCACGACGTCTCGTACTTCGCCTTTACTGCCCATCTCTGCTCTGATAGTTCCTTATTTTTACGCAAGAATTCATCTTTTAGGGTTTGGTTTAGACCACCGGGCACCATTGAATCTAGCGTAAACTGCCTTGCAAGTTGTAGATGCTCATGTTCCAGGATCGCTTTTTCGGTTCGCAATTTTTTTATCTCTCCGATCAAATCCGTGTAATTCTGCAACACATTCATTCAATTAAATTTGTGGCCAATTTTAATTCTCCTTCTAGTTTTGAGCAGTGAGAAATAAGCTCATCATGTGCATGACGGCTAGGAATCAGTGCTGATGATTCTCGTTGCTGCCCGCATGCTGCGCTGTGTTTGTGTTCACTGCTAAAGTATGACACATGGATTGCTTTCAGATATGTTTATCGCTACAAATTATATTTAGTTTGGTCCCTTATGCCCGATCCTAATGAAAGACTAGCCGGACAGTCGAATTGGGGTTCCCATATGCTCCCACACGCTCAATCATGCCAATCCTTTCCCTTTGATTCAGTTCAGTCATCAGTGCCGCAAATAGTAAATTAACTGTTGAAAATCAGCAGTTTTCAATTAATTTTAAAATGCTCTCTTTACAGGCTCCTCCACTTCATCAATTATGACACCATACACAATGCGCTACTGCTCATGGGCCTAATGATGCAGATTAACAGGGAGTGATAAGCTGGTTCATGCATGCACATTTCTTCTCCGCAAATATTTCGGTATGGTTGAGGCGAACTTACATTTGCAGTAGTGAGTGAGAAACAGTAAAGAACCATTGCGAGCACTGTAATTCTTTTTACCAAGATGATATTACAGCACATTGTTTGCCTAAAACAAAGTGAAATTCAAAATGCGCAGTAAAATGAGATTTAGTAAGAAACCTGAGCAGGAAGACGATGTTACTGGATAAAAAGAGAATATTCAAAGAAGGTTAAGGCGCCGAGGTGGAGGGCTTTTGTAATAATGCTAGTGACTCATTTTATAAGTAACATTCAACAAGTGCTAATTTAAGCGATAATTTGGCTAGGGGCTAAGTCTTCTTTTGAAAATCTGGCGAGACAGTTCCACACTGTGATGAGGTGACGGGAGGAGGTAGGTTTATAAGCCAATGAACTTAACTTTTATTCTGCATGTGTTATTGAGCGAAAAAAAGCGATTCACTGTGTATCAGGGGAAGTAAAAGAATTATAAATCAGTCGCAGACAGGAAAGCTCACCGAGAGGGAAGGACAAAATCACTGATTAGAGATCAGCCGAGAGGGAACAAAATCACTAAGATACGAGGAAAAGAGGAATATTGTCCTCAGGATAGGCAGTTCAGTTTACAAATAACCACAGTCAGTAAGAAAACTCACTGTAGACTATGCGCAACTAAAGCAACCTTAAAACGGCTGAAGTTATGCCAGCTGCCTCTAACTGAAAAGCCTTCAATCAGTAAAACTTTCAGAAGATAAAACAAACTTTGACGCCACCCAGCAGGCTATGCATCAGCGACTAAAGCAGTCGAAAAGGTTACTAGCTACAAAAACAGACTGAAAATTGCAGATGTTTCAGGTATTCCATTATGACTGTAAAAGTAGATTCTTTCTTGAAAAAATCGTCCGGTATTCTTTCAACTGTTTTTTCAGCTCAGTGCGCAGTATTTTGCAGAATTTGTTCTATGATTCATATTTACAGTAAAAGGTGTCGCGTGTAAGGATGAAACAATTCGCTTTTGCAAGCAGACCACGTCTTCATTTTGAGGGTGTCAGTTACTTTTCACTTCGTGTCCTATGCACTCTGTTAGCCTTACCGAGACAGGAAAATCCTGAAAGTCTGGCGAGCAATGCCCGTTATATATTACATTGGCTCAGCACTGGCCGAAAGCTTCGGAATGCGCATAAAAATAATTCTACGCAGCTCTCATCCTCAGTTTGCCTAACGGGATCAGATACAAATCTCTCAAGTAGCTAACTATCGTCTTTATGCCTTTCTTATCAAGCGGCGCAATCTGAAGCAAACGCTGATAGGGCATTAGGGGAATGAGAAAATTCATCTCTTAGTCTATAAACGGATTGCTCGGGTTTAGCAAATTTAAAACTGCAGACTCTCGAAACGCTGCTAGTTGCATTGACGATGCAACGATAAAATCATAAATGCTCAAGGTATTTATGGGGCAAAGTGATGGGAGCGGCAGATCTTCTAATCCCCATAAAAGTATGAGTTAAATTGCTGTTCTGGAAATTGGTGTGAGCTGCAGCATTTTCTTTATTGCATTTTTAATGTTTTTTATGCGTTTTTGCTGTGCAGCGCCATAGCAGCGTTGTTGCGCTGTTACAGCCAGCAACCCAGGCTGGAGCGCACCAGGCTTTCCGGTGCAATCGTGCATTTTTGCACTAAACTCGCAGATCGCTTTTGGCAGGAATGATCCCTGCGCTGTAGCCTAACACTTGGGCTAATATTGGCCGTGCTTTGATCCTT